TTTAAACTCGATGCGCTCTGAGACTGGGGCGGCCGAGGACAAAAAATACACATGCGTTTATCTCGTTAAAATAAGTAGTGGCGTTAATTTTTTTTTTGCGTTATTAACGCATTATTAACACGTTAACTTGACAGCCCTAATTGTAGGGCCATACCTATATAAAACATGTCTGTGAAGTTTTTTTTTCAAAATACCAAACAGATCATGCATTTTAGCCATGCCTCATTTCGCTCTATTTGCTCAGCCCTGTTTTTGCAACGGCTGATTCTGTGACGTAGCTTTAATGCAAATGAGCTGCAGCTGACCACGCCCCCCTGCAGGAGAGGGGGGCGTGCTCAGAGATCAGCTGCTGGGCTCTCAGAAGAGGGGGAGGAAAAGAGAGGCTCCGTTTTTTATTCTTATATAGAGTCGTTATTAATTTGTTTTAAAGCTCAATAAATAACAAAGAAGAACTCTGACCAGCATTTTTCTAATTTTGCCCGGAAGATTTTAACTTTAACGGACATGTTGACCGGCAAAAAAAAATCGAACTGAAACTGCCGCACGGTCCCCTCGTCCCTTGGAAGAGGTGGAGAGGTGGGTGGTTTGTCATCTGCTGGTGGACTACCGGAGAGAATTACAGCAGCAGGAGCAAACGCTTGCCTCTGGGAGGGAGAAAAAGAGCCACAGCGGAGAATAAACAGAAGGGCAACCATGGCAGCCATGCGCGGGAAGTCTTCTTCGCTGCTTTTGTGGCAGACTAAAGCGCCACTTACAGTCCTGGCATATGTACTACAGCGTCTCCAGCGCTTTCGAGCGGTCTCGTGTGAACGGATACGTCTCGTGTGAACGGACACTATTCCGGGCTGACGTCAGCTCTGATGGAATCTTTATCTGCTCGTTGTAGCCCTGTTTTTAAAAGATTTTGGTACGGAGGTAAAGAGAGAGGGTTTTATTTTCTGACGCTGCATGAGTTCCCCGACACACCGGGGACACATATTTATGTATAAAAGACATCACAAAGTGCATTTTGCATGATAGGTCCCCTTTAACTAAAGCACTGAGAATCTGGGATTACGACACACACTTAGGGAGAATGACTTCATTAGTTACTAGTCAGGTAGACATTACCCCGCTATATCTTTACATATTAAATAGTTTTTAGCTGCTCTGTATGTTGTATTGAGAACCTTTGAGAATATTTCCCTAAAAAAGATTTTAACAAATTTTGTTTCTGAATATATACTTGGACTGTCCCAACCTACCGGTGCGGTGCATCATCTGTAATGAAACAGTGTAGCCACGGGATACCACAAATCCACGGTTGTCCACCATTTTATGATGGAATTGCTCGTCCCAATGAGCTGTGAGGAATACAAATCAGTTAGTTTTAAGAGCATTTAAAAGGAATTATATTGCACATCTGCAGGTTTAATACTCACGTTTGAAAAACATAGCATTGATGATCATCGCCCCATCAGCCTTCTCCACATCCTTGGTAACTTCGGACAGTTTGCCATCAGTAGACTTGAACGCCCACTCGTTGATGGAGTTCACGGCGCTCTTCTTATCTCTGAGGTTTATCTTGGAGTGATCACAGTTATAGTGCTTCTGGCTGCTCTTGACAAACTCATCCACAAAGGCGACGGAGCTGGGTCCATAGAGACGGTTGCTGATCTTCCAGGTGACATTGCGGGTTTTTGGGTCGCTCACCTCAGACAGGAGCTCAGCCAGACCAGAGTGCAGTTGATCATCTTTGACTTTAGCCACATTCAGAATGGTTTTCACCTGAGAGGCAGTGGAGGCTTTGCCCCCAAGAACAACCAGACCCAGAGCGGAGGCCACCACTACAGGGGAGATCAGGATGTTTTCTACATTCTTTTCCTTAGCCATTTTTTGGTAGAGACTGAAGGCAAACTTTGCACTGTTGTCAGCCAGGATGGTGGCGTGTTTGCTCAGGACTTTCTTTGGTAAAGCCGAGGTAGTAGCTGAAGCAGAAGTAGCCAGGAGGACCAGGGCCATCAGGCTTTGCACCCACATGTTGGAATGCTAATCAAAGATAAAGAAAGATATAAAGCAAATCTTATTAATGTACTGATTTAAGCGAGCCAAACTCTTATCTTGGCTAATTTGTTCTGTTTTAGTTTCACATATATTAACTTATTTTTCCAAATTGGAAGCCTTTTTTTTGGGGCACCTCATTTTTTAAGGATAATAGCAGGGCGAGTTGGGTTAAAGGTGGGGTAGGTAATTTTGGAGAAACCAGCTCGAGTGCGCTAGAATTTGAAAATACACAGCCGGAACAAATCTGCCACTTCCTTACAGAGCCCCTCCTCCAACACACACGAACGCGCACATGACCAATGAGGGCACGAGATAAATTTGTGCACAGCTGGAAGGCTGACAGGCAGGTAGGCATCCAGTTATTTTAGCCGGGCCGGCTAAAATGATTGATCGTGCTTTTTACAGTACTATGGCTTCCACAGATGACATTATTTTATGGATTTTTTGTCAAAGCATTTAAGATATTCATTGATATCGGGATGTTAAGAGCATTCCATGGAATATAACAAAAAGTGTATCTCGAGCCGGTTTCTCAAACTTACCTTCCCCACCTTGACATTCAAAAACGTCTGTCCCAAATAAACCCTGAGGCTAGACCTACACCACAGACACGTAGGCAGCTACAGGATGTCAAGAAGAAAAAAATGCGGCCAGCTACGAATTCTTCATGTCTTGGCAACACAAACGATTTAAGTTTTCTAAAATAATCTCTAGAGGAAAGAGTCTGGTTGATGCTGATCAGTTTCCCATGACGTGGAAAAAGTGATCACATGCTGACACACACTCAACCAATGCCAGGGTTAGGGTTAGAGATGGGCTTACTTCAATGTGGATTAAAGAGATCAATGGCAAACGGCTACGTTTTAGTGTTTATTGTCTGTATAACTCAATTAACCGCAACTTTTCCAGTTATTTGAAATGATTAGTGTTGGAAGATACATTTTTTATTGTGCTGGAACTTGAAAACAGAAAGATCAAGGATGAATAGATTAATCAACTGCTGATGATATGATCTGAATAGCATGTTAAGGTAACACTGCATGTGATAATCATACTATGTTTCTTTTAATGAAAATCCATTTGGTTTTTATGTTATTTTCTGCATGTTCTACGGCCACCTCCCTAATTCTCTGAACTCATGTGCATGTCTACTTGCAAGCAACATACTTTCACGTTTTGTACATTTTTTAAAACAACTTGCAAGAGTTTAGGACTACAATGGAATATTTGACTCCTTATCCCAGATCTGAGTTTGTGGCCTCTTCTCACATGCCTGGGCATTTCCCACAAGTTGAACACTACACTGCATACTTTCCCTCCCCCCCTTACTTCCAGAACTTTTATCTTACCTTATTGGGCTCTTTCAACAGCTCAGCAGGTTGTCCTGAAGCTTCTGCAAAAAGATCCCCTGATCTGCTGTATGTGGACAATGTAAATGGCAGCCAAACATAGAATTGTATGAGACAATTGCAGGAATTGCTCTGCCCGGTTCACAGAGCATTAAAATCTCTGCTCAGGAATCTTCCTCCGCCCATAGTGAGGGGCAGTGGGAGAAGAATCTGCAACCCCCAGGTCCTAAAGCCTGAATTTGTTGAAGCCACCCACCCCTCTGTGATCTATAATAAAGTTACCCTGTATTAGTGTATTACTCACTGATTATGGTTGCACCCAAATATTAGTGTTCTTGTTAGGATCTTAAACACTTTCATTACTGTTTACTCATCCAATTAATAAAGTTGTGTTTTTTGTACACAAAGTAAATGGTAGAACTATCTTTTTGTATTTGTATTGACATAAAATATAGCTTAACAATAGCAGTATATTGGTGTGAAAATTACAATTTATACTTCTATCTTATTGTTTTAGTGACGGCTTCATTTCTGAACTCATGTAATTGCCAAAATACAAACTTGTTCGGTCATGAAGAAAATGTTGACACTTACAATGAGAGTTAAGGATCTTTGTTGTTTTCAAAGTGCTTTTACAGCCATATCCTCCCCCCCCCCACTCGTAATTGCCCCTCTCCGACTCTGCCACCAGGTCTATACATTTGACCAAAGCCACACTTGAGTATGCACTGCTAAAGTAATGTGTTCGACTGTGGTGTTGATCCATGAGTGAATGGGTCAGAGACCGTGTCTAAAGTTGAAGTGAATTAACCAAACCTTCATATTTAGAAAGGTGAGTCACTTGATATCTTACTGTAATGTTTCAACGCCTGCCAATCAATTATGATGTCTAAGAACAACTATTTCCAGTTAGTCCCGAAAAATCCTTTACTTGAACATAAACTAGGAACTTTTATCAATAAAGAAATTGATAACTATAAACACAATTATTATATCAGTAGCTGGTCAATTATTTCAGATAAGTTATAAGTTGGCAATAATATCAGTACAGTTTTGGCTTTCTTAATTATTGTGAGGTCACGTGTATGATAATAGAGCCCATAAGAAGATGGTCAGTGTGCACGTGCCTCTATCTGTGTATTCAATACATATATCCAGTTTTGAATACAAATGTTTTGATTTCATCCATTATACATCAGTACAGCCTGATATAGATGTGGGAAGGGATTTGGCAAAGGAACTCCATGGTTACATTTTTTCCCATGAATGCTTCCTGCTCTTCTTCCTGGTGTTATTAGATGTTATGCTTATCCTCCCCCTGCTTGGGGATCTGGTGTGTGTGTGTGTGTGTGTGTGTGTGTGTGTGTGTGTGTGTGTGTGTGTGTGTGTGTGTGTGTGTGTGTGTGTGTGTGTGTGTGTGTGTGTGTGTGTGTGTGTGTTTGAAAGAGGATCAGGCAGCAGGAAGTTCCAGAAGAAGTGGATGCATGTCCCTTCTAACACCTGTTAAATCAAGTCTATTTTATTTTTATAGTCCAACATCACAGATTACAAATTTGCTCCAAGGGGGTTTAGCAATCTGTACAGAATATGACACCTGCTGTTCCCAAAAAAGCATATTGAATTGAATTGCATTGAATAACAAGAGAGAGGACCTGCTATCCTCTTCCTGATCTCCCTTAGAGACTATTTTGTTAAAAAATACAGCACAAGTGGTGCACAGCTTCTACAGCTCTGTACATCATTACTGGTAGGGTAATGGTTCACAGAGGCTTCACTCCACTATTAGATTACAGCAATCCTACAATGTCTATCTGATTTATTGTCGCTTTGGATTAAAGCGTCAGCTAAATTATATGTAGTGTAAAAGTGGGGACAGACTAACTGTGAGGCCTCAGACCCCAACAAACTGCACAAAAGCACATATTCATATGTACGAATGTTACAAAACATCATAAAACTAAAACAAAACAAACTGAAAGCAAAGAAAGAAAGAAAGAAAAAGCCAGGACCCAGCTGTCTGAAAAATAGAAGAATATTCTGAGCAATTCGGAAGTGGTAACTAAACAAAACACAAGGTTATATATTCTGATCATACATTGCTTTGAGCTATACTCTAACTTTTGATTTTGGCACTTTTACTGAAAAGCAATTATGTTTTAATTAAAAAAAGGGTACATTTGATAAAATGACTTAAATAATGATTGTGTAATATGTGTAAACAGGAACATTTAAGTAACCCTTTTGCAATATTAAAGATAGTTAAGTTTAGTACTTATTATGTCCTTGAGTCATGTGTATTTGACAATTACAAAAAAACTACAATACCCAGATTGCTGGTTTAACTAATTAATTTCACATTATTTTCGTGATCACAAGTCGCGCCCTCTGCTGGATATAACTGATAAATACTGACATTCAGTTTAGAGTGTGAGTTCCCTTTATGACCATCAGAGGTCCACATAGAGCTAACATTAAAACACAATTTTACTATTGTTGCTATTGTGCAACTGAGAGGTTCCTGGTACTGTAACTGCCACCTTTATCATCATACTTTACTATTACTTTTACAAAACAACAAGACATTATTTCACTTCAGTGGTCATTTAAATTAAATCACACATTTATACATGTATGTATTTGGTACTGCTAGAATTCCTCTCCTGACATGTTTCCACATGTCCACTGCTGAAGTTTGTCTTTTGACTGCTGCTGCTAAATTGTTTGGGATTAAAGGGATGTGACGTAATTATCCCAGGCCAAGGGTTAATCTCTGATTGCTGGGCCTGGAATAGATCTGTTAGAAGAAGTTACTCGTTGCTCTACATCTTCTCCCTACAGGTGTGTTGGTAATATGCCTCCTGTGTCGTGTTAAGTGAGCTACAAACACAACAAAACAACATCTCAATAGTTTAGTGGCACCAAAAGGAGAGCCGTGTAAATCACTGCATGTTCTTATCCAATTAGGATTTAGAACACTGAGACTTGATGCTGAGAGTATTTTCTGATCACCTCACTCTTTCACTAATGCAGTTCTGCTTGGTAGATTCCAGGAAACGCTAACATTTCCTCGAGATGCCTGGTGAGGTTGAGTACATTGTTCCATGTTATCCCCCTTTGATTTCTCCCCGGCATGTCCTGACACTTTGAACTGGTAACATACTTGGTTTAATTCTCTCAAAACACCTCTCACCTGCAGCATGTGAGAAATATCAGGTCAAAAATGTAATAAACAAGGTCGGAGACCGCCAACAGAAAGAGGTGCACATTTTGTCACGTTGTTTCAAACTAGTAGGTCTTATTTGGTTCTTAAAGCTTTGACGCAAATGAAGCAGCGTTGAAAAGAAATGTGCTGTGAACAATTCACTTTTCAGAGTACTATTAATATGTTTTGCATTTGAAATAAATCAATATTGAATAGATTAACTTTTACAGCTGAATACAATTATATAAAAATAAATAATAATGTACACTTTAGAAAGGATGTATTCTATGCATTCAAAGTTATGGTGTCAGTAATACATTTATTTATTCTTTATCAATCTTTAAAAAGGCATTAATGGGAACAAATTGCAGATCTGTGAAGCAATGGAGATGTGTTTGCATGCTAATAGTTTTAAAGGTGGGGTAGGTAATTTTGGAGAAACCAGCTCGAGTGCACTAGAATTTGAAAAAACACAGCCGGAAAAAATCTGCCACTTCCTTACAGAGCCCCTCCTCCAACACACACGAACGCGCACATGACCAATGAGGGCACGAGATAAGTTTGTGCACAGGAAGGCTGACAGGCAGGTAGGCCATCCAGTTATTTTAGCCGGGCCGGCTCAGATGATTGGTCGTGCTTTTTACAGTACTATGGCTTCCACAGATGACATTTTTTTATGGATTTTTTGTCAAAGCACTTAAGATATTCATTGCTATCGGGATGTTAAGAGCATTCCAACAAAAAGTGTATCTCGAGCCGGCTTCTCAAACTTACCTACCCCACCTTGACATTCAAAAACGTCTCTCCCAAATAAACCTTGAGGCTAGACCTGAAGTGAATTAATTTCAGTTTTCCGCACTCTCGCGGGAATATCTCCGCAATGGAGCGAGCTTAAGTTTGACTTTCGATTGCATGATATAGCCCAGCGCAACACCTCCGTCAAGCATTTTGCCACTTGTTTGTACCATTTTCAGGCGATTTGTAGTCTGTTCTAGAAAAACTATGTGTTTTTTAGGCTTTCAAGAAGCTTATAGAACA